GAGGATGGGATGAGCCGTGTCTGGATCCAGAGTCACATTCACTGGGGGAGAGAGAGAATCAGAGCGTTAAGGCCAGATCTCATGCCTGGGAGAACCTGGAACCATTTTTCACGCTTCCCAGCACCCCTGTTCTTCTGGCTGGAATAGTCCTGGATCCCAGGGAGCTGCCTCTGTCCCGGGCACCTGAGACTCAACAGGGATGTCACTGGGGTTCCTCCGTCTGTGTCATGGGACCCACTTCATTAGTTTCTCCTTCATTGCAGAGGCTTCAGCTCAGCTCCTCCTGTTATTGACCTCATAGTCCTCCAGCAGCTGTCCCAGAATGCCCCATTCCCTGTGACAGTGACAGATCAGGTCAGTTGTAAACTCTACGGCCCAAGGGTCACAGAGACTGGAAGCCACCACCTCTTTCAAAACCTCCCACGTGTTTTTGAAATGCTTTTTCCTGATTGCCCTCCTTGGCAAGGACAAGGAGCTTGCCATTGTGTGCAGCTGACCATGCAAATGCCATGCACTAAATGTGCTCCCACCAGGAGTAGACTGGAGCTATTCAATCTCCTGGGCCTGTGGGGGAGAAGAGGCTGTGCAAGCCCAGGTATGGACCAGTTGTAGAAACATGGATATCTACGAACAGATTGCATGAGGGATGCAGGTGAAGGGATATGACAGGGGTCAGCAGGAATGCCGCATGGAATCAAAGGCACTGCATCAGCTGTACCACAAGGCAAGGGAGAGCAACAACCAATCTGGTGCTGAGCTGTTACACTGAGCTGCATGCCATCCTTGGAAAAGCCCCCACGAAACCACTGTGGATACCTCAGATGAGCCCAAGACAGAGACCCCTGCTATGAACAGTGAGGAGGAGGAAGTGCGGGGCGGGGGAGGAAACGCAGCAGGAGCCAGGACCTGTTGAAGACACCACCAGCAGTCTAGCCAGTCTGCCAGGCAAGCATGGATGGGCCCAAGGAATGGGAAGGTATCTTGGGAAACTGTGACCATGCATTTTTCCTTACAATGTTTAAATGTAAAGATGGTGCCTGGCCCATCCCCAAGATAACAAGCCACAGGTACTGACTTTTCATGGTTTTATTCATACAAGAAGTGGAGGTACAACAAGCAGAGGTAGAAATGACACATGCTTTTTATTCCCCTGCTAGGTTAAGCATAGGGGAAGGGGGCACTTTATATACATAGGGATGTCCTGAGACATCTTGATTAAACTTTTATGGGGATGCTCTGAAATCCTCTCCCAAAAGCTTCTAGGGAGGGCTGCCTTATTTCTTCCTCCGTGGTAGGACACTTTGCCACGTCAGTCCATGATGAGTTCAGCTGGCACCATTGCAGTAAACAGGCTAGTGGCATATAGGCCTAGGCAGCTTCAGGACATCAGTAGGAGCTATGCTTTCTGTTCCTTTGTTACCCTCAGAAGTGAGAGATCAGCTAAAACCACCACCACCTGTGGAACGTCGTGCCAGTCTTCAGTGGGATTGCCCTGCACTTGTTCCCATGGAACAGGGACTGAAATGTTATTGCTTTGTGCAACCAAAATTCCTCCTCCCCCCATCTCCTCACTCACCACTCGTGGGGCCATACGCACCGTGACTGGGGCTGGAGTGCGGTGCAGTGTGGAGGCACTCCACAGCTGTAGCGTCAATAAACTTTTCTTCTTAAAAGCGTTTCTGGGAATAAGGGATGGGAGTTTTGAGCCTTGTCTCTCCCTTTCCATTGTGACTGTAAATCCAATGACATGTCTGTGTTTAATCAGCAGTTCTGCCGTTGCAGCCTTAAGGGGTTAAGCCCTCTCTACACCCACAGAATGCCTGACACTGATGAGGAGAAAGCAGAGGACTAGGAAGGGCATAGTCAGCAAGGTCCTGCAAGCCAGTGCTGCACTGGCCTGTGAGCAAAAGGCCTGGAGGGCCAATATGACTAAGACTAGGGAGAAGTAAAGAGAGGAGAGGAGAGAGAAGTCCTAGCAGGACAAGGAGAGGGAGATGCACCAGGACATCATAGATCTTCTCAAGCAGCAAACCCAAATGCTGCAGACACCGGTTGACCTACAGGTCCAAAAATCCCAGACTCCCCACCCTTTGCAGTCCTTGGAGAACTCCCTGCTAGCAGCTCCCTACATCCCCAATGTTCCACGTGGCATCTCAGGCCACATCCTAACCCCTACCACTCCATGCTGGGGGACAGCAAGGAAAACCACAGCTTCACATACACTGACCTGTGCAAAGCATGGTTTGCCCATGTGTAGCCACAACAGCCTGCATTTGTCTGCTGAAATGGACAGAAATATTTGCTGCTTTTCCAATTTTAAAGTTCCACTCTGTTAATTGATGTTAAAGCTTTGTTTACATTGCCTGCACTTTTTTGCACATTGTTTTTCTGCACTGCTTTTTGCCACTTAATACATTTCTATGTTTGGAGAATAAAATTAACTTTATTAGTTCACAATATATATTGCAGAATGCATAGAGGTACTAGGAATTGTGTAGCAATACCCAATTGATGTGGTCTCTCTTGTAGAAATTGTTTCCATTTCATTAAATAACTGAATATTAACCAGTCCTGATAAAGAATAAGAATAACTCTATAATCCAGTGGTTGGTGTAGTCATCGGAGAGGTGAGAGACCCCTATACGGATCCCTTCACCTCCCCAGACAGAGGGGAGAATTGAAGCAGGTTCTCTTACATACCAGGTGTGCAACCTAACCCCTGGGTGAAAGGTGATAGTTCTCCTCCCACTTTGTGGGGAGTTAGGCATCCTCAGAGAACACCTCCTGGATCAGGCGGCAGATGCAGAGGAGCACCCATCTTCCCTCAATTTGAGGATCGGCTTGGAGCTTCAGCACGAGATAAGCGTCTGAGCAGCTAGAGCTAGGCAGTAGGGCACCTGCTCTTAGGCATCAAAGGAACTTTTACAGCAGTAACGTAGGAGCCCAGGCAGTTTTGTAGATCGCAGAGGAATCAAAAAGTCCCTTGGTGTGGGTGGGACGAGCGAGGCCATGATCATGTTTAAGTGTCTTTAATGCCAACACAGGACACTGTGGTAGATGGGGAGGGGGAGGGTTCCCTGCTGGGCTATGAGGGTCTTCCCCTCCCTGTAGCCTTGGTGACTATGTGGGCCTGACTTCAGGGCTACACAGGCCTGTTGAAAATCCCCATTTCCTTCCCACCTCTGCCCAGCCTCATCCCAGGAATTGGTAACCCCCTGGCCACCCTGCCCACCCCCCCCACACCCTTGCTCACCCCTCTTCTCATGTTATTTACACTCTTTGCATTTCAGTGATGGCTTCACCCAACAAGGATATTTCCTGTCTCTCTGTCCCCTGTGTAATGAGTTCCAAGTTCTCCACATCAGCTGTACAAATGCTGCACTTTCCCAGAGCTGTATCTCCCACACTCTCCTCCACCTGGCTCTATCTCATGTCACTGCAGGGATCACGCAGTCATCTCCTGCTCTGTTTCATTCTCTGCCTTTTGGATGGTGACTCTGATATTTGCCCATCAGTGTTTGTGCCAATGATTATTTATCATTCCCATGGTTCAAAAAACACTAAAATCTCATGGCAAAGGGCTGGGGAAAGGAAAAAAATAGAAGAAATGACTATTCTCACCCATGGTCATTTGTCTCAAGAAGACCATAATAAATATCAGCTATAGCCTGTCAAACAAAACTAATATCCACTTATGTGACGAAATGGCCTTCAGGAAAGAGAGAGAAACCCATGTTATATGGGGAAGGGTATGAAGTTCATATAAAATTTTATACCAGAGCATGTTACATCTGATGACTCTAAATCAAAATAGATTTTCACATCATGTTCTCTTCTAAGCCACCACTCAGCAATCCCTCACTATTAGGTCATGTTATTTACAAAAGTTTTAGCATCATTGTAATGAAAAAAAAAATCCCACCAAAACAATAAACAAAACCTTTCCATGGGCAAATAAGCAAGTTTGGCAAATAAAAGCCCAGAAGCCACTTCTGTTGATGGACACCGGGATTTAAACTCAGATTGGTCACACTGCATTGGGGATTAATTTAAATCCCCCCTCTGGGTTAGTGACACATTCATCTCCAGTTTTAACTCTAATTTAGAATCAGAGAAATCCAAGTGTGATTCCTAAGCATGGAAAGCTGAGGACACTGGGGAATGTGACCCTTTCGGAGGTGAAGGGGTAGCACTGAGAGAAAATAGCTTCTGTCTGAGCCATAGAGTTTAATGCTGCTGGGGAAAAAGGGGAATCACAATGCCACTGGGGGAAGAATGGAATCCCTTTGACTCACCCCATCGCCTTCAGGTATCACAGATTCTGAAACAACACATTTATGGAGCCCTGCTCCTGCTCTGTGTTATATTTAAACATCTTGGAAATAGAAGAAAGAGTACAAAAAGTAATGATCTTCAGTACAATTCAGATCAACGTGAGAATAACTGGAAATGAGTCACTCTGTCCTGAAGGAGCATACTTAATCTTAAGAGCGACTCAATCACTCTGCTAATGAAGCAACAATATACAGGAGATGCTCAGGGATGATCTAGGATAGAGAAAGTGCTGGAGATTCGGTCAGGATCAGAGGGAAACATGCCAGCTAACCCTCACCACTTTTCTTACTCTACACAAACCTTTGGAGGCTAAAGCTGAGGTGGGCCTGGCCCATGTGTCCCTTTGGAAATCATATAAGAACGGCCATAATGGATCAGACCAAAGGTCCATCTAGCCCAGTATCCTGTCTTCCAACAGTGGCCAATGCCAGGTGCCCCAGAGGGAATGAACAGAACAGGTAAACATCAAGTGATCCATCCCCTGTCGCCCATTCCCAGCTTCTGGCAAACAGAGGCTAGGGACACCATCCCAGCGCATCCTGGCAAATAGCCATTGATGGACCTGTCCTCCATGAATTCATCTAGTTCTTTTTTGAACCCTGTTATAGTCTTGGCCTTCACAACATCCGCTGGCAAAGAGTTCCACAGGCTGACTGTGCTTTGTGTGAAGAAATACTTCCTTTTGTTTGTTTTAAACCTACTGCCCATTCATTTCATTTGGTGATCCCTAGTTCTTGTGTCCCTCTCAGTGATGCTTTCTTAATACTAAGAGAACAGAGAAAGGGGCAGAGGGGCTGAAGTATAGGAGAAGTACCTTCCTAATCCCATCCCTTTCCACCCTTGTTATTCCATGATCCCCACACACTGGATACCTCAACACCCTGCATCTGACTGCTTCTGGTTCCCATCTCCATCAGCCCCAAACATTAAATTCCTCCATTACCTGCCTATCATCCATCCCTCCTAGTCTGTTAACATCTGATCCCCTGAGAACCAAGCACCATGGGGGATCTGGGGAGAGAAGGAGTTACCAGCCCTCAGGGGAACCCCACTGCAGGGAACAACTCCAGTTAAGTGTGAGAGCCCAGCCCATGGGCTGGTGGAAGAAGAGAGATGGAAACAGGTCTCTAGAGTGAATATGGGGCCCAAGTTTTCTTCTGCTAATCTCCATGAAAGGGCAGGGAAGGGGAGAGGGAATTTCCAGAGGAGTTCTTTTCTCTTTCTTTGCCCAACAGGTAGAAGGCGGAGAGGCACATTGCCTCAGCAGCCGGGCCTGCAGCAATGAGGCAAAGTGGATCAGGTATTCTGCTCTGCCTGGGGTGTTCTAGACAGGCAGAACCAGAGTCACTCATCAGTTCAGGTTTGTCTGCTGCTGTATCCTCACCCCAGAGAGGGGCAGCCAGATATTTGGGAACCAAATGTCACTGGTGTAGAAGGGAAATCAGGAAATGGTTTATTTTTACTATGGCTACTGACTGGGGCATTTATAGGAGTCTCTGCCATGTGGATTCTCTGATGTTTAATAAGGTATGAGCTCCGAGTGAAGCTTTTCCCACAGTTGGTGCATTTATAGGGTCTCTCTTCTGTGTGCGTTCTCTGATGTTTAAGCAGGGATGAGCTAATATTAAAGTTTTTCCCACAGCTGGAGCACTTATAGGGTCTCTCTTCTGTATGGATTCTTTGATGTGTGATAAGGGACGAACTAATATTGAAGCTTTTCCCACAGTCGGAGCATTTATATGGTTTCTCTCCCACGTGAATTTTCCGATGTGTACAAAGGGATGAAATCACATTGAAGCTTTTCCCACATTCAAGGCATTTATATGGTTTCTCGCCTGTGTGAATTCTCCGATGTCTAATGAGGGCTGAGCTCACACGGAAGTTTTTCCCACAATCGGGGCATTTATAGGGTCTCTCTTCTGTGTGGAGTCTCTGATGTAGAAGAAGGGCTGAGATCTGGTTGAAGCTTTTCCCACAGTCGGGGCATTTAAAGGGTCTCTCTCCTGTGTGGATTCTCTCATGGTTAATAAGGCTTGATCTCTCCTTGAAGCTTTTCCCACAGTCGGGGCATCTATAAGGTCTCTCACCCGTATGGATTCTCCGATGTGTTTTAAGGGATGAACTCACATTGAAGCTTTTCTCACAGTCAGGGCATTTATAAGGCTTCTCTCCTGTGTGCACTCTCTGATGTCTAATGAGGGCTGAGTTCACACTGAAACTTTTCGCGCAGTCGAGGCATTTATAGGGTTTCTCTCCTGTGTGGACTCTCTGATGTTCAATGAGGCGTGAGCTGCGAGTGAAGTTTTTCCCACAGTTGAGGCACTTATACGGTCTCTCTCCTGTGTGGGTTTTCAGATGTAAAGTAAGGGCTGAGCTATTGTTGAAGCTTTTCCCACAGTTGGGACAGCTATAGGGTCTCTCTCCTGTGTGGATTCTCTCATGTCTAGTTAGATCTGAGCTCCGTTTGAAGCTTTTCCCGCACTCGGTACATGTGGTTTTTCTCTCTCCCATGAAGATTCTCTGCTGGACTGTTGTTCTCTCAAGGTCCTTGCAACCTCCTCCATAATGAACAGATTTACCTACTTCTTGCACTGGGAGGTTATCCTGATGGTTCTCTGGCCTGTGCTCATTCTCACAAGCTGCTTCCTGCTCAGGACTCGAGGACACGTTCCCTTGAGATCTTCCCAGTAATGTCCAGTGTTGTTCCACTTGCTCAGGACCTTCCTGCTGGGGATTCTCCTCCTCGTACTTTCTCATCATCCCATCACCTGCTGGGATAGAAAGAGAATCAAGACGTGAGTCATTCCCTGTGCCAGGAGGGTGGGGAAAGGGAGGGAGGGAGGGAAACCTCAGAAAGGGGCAGAGCAAATGGGGTGGTGGATGTGTGGGGGGAGACACAAATGAAATGAACTGTTGGGAGATCAAAAAAAAAAATCAGAATCTCCATAATTTTTTCCCAGAGAATAGAGAGGATCCTATCTCAGGTGGCAAGGAGGTGCTGCCAGGTGTCAGTGATGGTGGGTGTGAAGACATGAGTGACGTCTGCCATGAGGATACAACACCTGCTGGGTACAATCCAGAAGTGGGGCAGCTAAAGAGGCGTTTTGGGGAATCCAAGCTGTTTCCATCATTCAAGAATTGTTTCTGAGTTGGTTTAAAGGACTCCTCATCTGCACAGGTACCTCTCAAGATCTCCCTCTCCTTGGAGTCCTGGAGATCTGGGACCCACAGCATTTCCCCTTGTTCCACCTTGGAGATCATGTCAGGTTTGGGAAGAAGAAATCCTGTTACAGGAGAAAGTAAACAAGTGAGA